CACAACGATTACGGTATTTCTGAATTTATACACCGTTCTCAAGTCACACCTATTATTTTTTTGAGCCACATCGACTCACACTAAATGTTTTTGCACAAACTTTGTAGCACGAGAAATCACAGTTTTTTGTGCACACGAACTTTTCGTACAAATTTGATCGTGATTTTGCACGAAATAGGGAAATATGTGCAGTTTTTCGTACAAAATTTGTTCGAAAAGTTCGTGTGCACAAAAAACTGTGATGTCTCGTACAAAATTGTGTGCGTACAAACATTCAGTGTGCTGTTTCTCAAGTCACACCGAAACACGCCTAAGTCACACCGAATTCTACAAGAAAATCGGTATGAATTGCGACATGCACGAGGGGGGAACAGCTTTCCACATTCGTTGTACAAAATTTGACCACATTCCACATTCAGGAGGCAAAAACGCCTGTAAGTAGGCAACATGTGTGGCAAAAAAGCAAGAAATCTTGCACATTCTTGCACATTTACACAATCATTGTACACAAAATTTTACAGTGTGTCACCCCTCGGACATGCACATTCACGTTCACATTCGCGCAGCATCCAAGGTCGAGGTGATCGCTTCGCCGCTGCAACAAAGCGGGCACGGGTTCGACGCCCTTCAGGGCCCTTCAGGGGGATGACTGCCGTCTTCCTCTTTGGCAAACTCCGGCGGCGTGGGTCATCGTCCGCGCGTCCCCCACGCACGACGCGTCCGTGACGTGGCCGTGACAGTGCCGTGACGGCAGGACAGGACACGCGTGGAGAATGGCGGGCGGCGGCGCGCTGCCACGACGGCACAGCGTGGCACAGCGCTCTGCCAAATCTAATTGCCAGAAGTTTATTATCGTCCTGAAGGTTATGACGGCGGCACTGCCAAAGTGCAAAAGCAGGGGGCAAGGCCGGCAGGCACGCGCCTTGTGCGCGACTGCAATAAAAGCATTAAAATTAGGCGACACGGCGGGGCGGGGCGGGGCGGGGCGGGGCGGGGCGGGGCGTGCTGCTTACCGGCTCAAGGGCTGCTCGGCCGGCTTACCTTGGCTGCCTTGCTCTGTCGGCTCTCTTTGACTGCAACGCACTGCAAAGTTGTAGTACACTGCTAGACCAAGCGAGCAGGGGTGGCTAACGAGCAGCCTCTGCAACCTCTCAAGATGGAGAAATTCCAACGGCAATTCAGTGCGTATTTTTCATTCTCAAAATTCAGGATTCTCCATGATTTTTGAGCGTAGTGCCCAGAAACATTCCTCGGGAGTTATCCCCCCTTTCGGTTACTCACTTTTGCTATATTATCACATTAATTTTATGACCTTCGGTGGAACATGTTGTAGCCAAGGATAGCAAGAATTTCTCCAAGACGGTAACGTAACGAGGGCAAGACCCGACCCACCCCGACCCGACCCGACCCAACCCGTGCAATGGGGTGGCCTCGGCAATGAAATCAAAGCCACGCCGCGCACAGTGCAAGAGACACGCAGTGACTTAGTTGCGTTAGGTCAGCGCGGCCCTGTAGACAAAGCCTTGCCGTCATGCAAAACGAAAACGAGGAACCCGTCACGGCCGTCCGGCCGTCCGGGGGCAACGCACGGGTTGAATGCGTCCGCCGCGCGGCCGCGCTTCGGGGAACGGCAGCCAATATTCGGGGTATTCTTCGCGTCCTTCGGGTAACTTCGGGTAACAGTGGAGCAGCCTTTGCGTGGTGCCGCCACGGCAGTGTAGCGGCAGTGCACTGGCCTTGGAGCGGCAATGCAAGGGTTCGTCACCCCGACTACCGCTAGCACCGCCAGCACCGCTAGCCAGAGATAGCGCAAGCAGCCCTTTTGTTGCACGACGGTCCGCGCTGCAAGAGTTGTCGTAAATTCTCCAAAGGAGTCCCTTTCCTCGGCGGCGCGCGCTGCCCGCCCTTCATTGGCACAACAGAGCCTTATTCGCAGGCAGATATCCGCCTATTCGCAGCCATAACTCTGCAAATGAGGGGCAGTCGGCATTGTGCCTCCACTGTGTTGGCAGTGTTGCATCGACGGGGGCCTCGGGGGCGATGAACCGAGAGGCCCGCCGCGCGGCGCTGCTGCAGGAGCAGGCGGATAATAAAATTAGGGAAATTCTACCCCAGGGTTGGTGGTGCCCCTGCTGCTTTTTGCCGCCATAAACTCGGTGGCGGCACGAGAGCACGCTGCACGGGTAGGTGCTAAAAGCAGGCACGAAAAACTGGACGTTTAGTTCTCGGACTGTCCTGCACGTCACGTGCACGTCGGCGACGACGCCGACGGGGAGGGGCGACACACGCCGACGGAGGGTATTATATTAGTCAAGTAAATGGTGGATGAGCGAGGCGAGGGGTTGTTGGCCCCCTGTATGGAGTCCTGTATGGCGGCGAGCTCGGGTCGCTGGCCGGCCACCCGGCCCGGGTGCGCGCCCCACACTGCCACGCCGCCACGCCCTGCCCCGCCCCGCCATTTGCACCACGTCCTCGTCGGCGTCCTCACTGGCGCCGTGCTCGGTGGCGTCGGGGGTCGAGAGTAGTTACAGTGCAAATTGGACGACGGGGCCCCGCCTGCCCCGCCTCCTTCGTAGACAGTCATCTCGTAGCCAACGCAGCCGGCTTGCGAAAACGACGCACTACTACAACGGCGGCAGTGCGGCGACGCCTTGGTCGACAATGCAGCGACAAGCACGTTCACACGTTTAGCATCGAATTACTGCTCTGATTTGGAATCGTCGCCCGAGTGCGTGTGAGCATGTGCGTTCTTTTTTTTTGTCGCCAGCGACTTACCCCCTCCACCAGCCCTTGTCCCAGACGCCGCCGGCACCTCCGCCGATGTCCTTCGAGGAACTCGGAAGCTTTCGAATAGACAAGTGCAGGCCAGTCACTCCACAGATGTGCGTGTGTGTGTGTGTGTGTGTGTGTGTGTGTGTGTGTGTGTGTGTGTGTGTGTGTGAGTGCGCGCATTCGTCTCTGTCGCACTCGGTGTCCGTTCACCGAGGGCGACAGAGAGGCCCGCTTCTTTTTGCCGGCGACCCCAGCGGGGCCCTTTGGCCCTTTCGGGGGGCGTCCGTCACGCCTGTGTGCAGGCCATGGCCAGGCCGGAACCCAAGCCAGGCCCCTCGGCCCCGCCCCTTCTCTCGGCACACCGCAAAGAAGAGTCACAAACTGGCCCCACGCGGCACACTGCTAAAATGTGGGCTGGGCTGGACGGCGGAGGCGCGGCGAGCGGCGACGGCCACCCCTCGCCTTCGCCTTTCACTTGGCCAGGACGGCCCCTGTGATGGGCGGGGTAGGCCGCTCGCCGCGCCGCCCGGCCTGCCGGTTGCTCGCCTCCGCGGCGCTCCGCGGCTCCAACGCCGCGCTCCACGACGCGCCTCGCGGGGCCGACGGGCAGCGCGCCGACAGGCAGGGAGGGAAGGGGGACTTGGACGCGGCACGGCCGGCCCACAGTGGGCCAGAAGACCGGTGGAGGCGGCCAAAACTCTAGACGCGTTTTGCGGTCCAGGGTCGCTAAACAGTACTCGAACCGAACGAGTGACCCCACCAATGGATTCCTCGTTCGGAGAACAATCCATTGGTGGGGTCACACGTTCGGTTCGAGTCCTGCTTAGCGACTCTGGAGCCTAAAACGCGTCTAGAGTTTTCGCCGCCTCCACCGGTCTTCTGGCCCACTGTGCGGCCGCCGCGCCGCCGCCACACTGGCCCGTCTCGGCGCCCTTCATGAGAACCACCTCGGGACTCGCCGCGCCGTGAGGGTGACAGGGTGGCGGGAACAAAACGGCCTCCTCGACGGCCTGCTTGGAGGACTCGTTGCAGGGCTCGGAGGACCATGGCGGCGTGGCACGCACATGTTGCCAACGTCTGTCCATCCCCGACGACGCTGCTCCCAATCATCTGCCGTTTTTTTGCGCATTTCTTTTACTTTTCGGCTGAAACGTTTCTCGCCGGGCTCCGAGATGCACGCCGTTTTCTGAATGTCACACGATTTTTCACGAGCGACGTTTTTCTGTGGACGACCAAAAAAAGCCAAATCGCGGCCGCGATTTCAGTTTTTTTTCGATCGGCCGGCTTGGGTCAGGGTGACATCGATAGACGCTCGAAGGGATGTAAATAAATAAAGTACAATGCGGACGGCGAGGCGGCAGGATAAATAAATAATCGGCCGCGTCCAGTGTGTGTGTGTGTGTGTGTGTGTGTGTGTGTGTGTGTGTGTGTCTGTGTCTGTGTGCGCCGCACTGTGTGGCGAAATGCGTTTTCAATCGAGAAAAAGCTTTTTTACACATAATTGTGGCGGCGGCAGTGGAGCGTTTTGGCAGGACCCGAGTCCATCCCATCAGGCCGAGAGGGGGAGGGGGCAGGGGGCCTGCGGCACGGCTGCATGGGAATGTGGCGAGCATGCGTGTTCTCACGGCAGCCTCATCCCAAGAGGCAGGGGGTGGGGGGGGGGAGATAGGGGGATGCGAGGAGGCTCCGGAACAATATCCAACCCCGAGATGAGACGGCGCGGCCTGGCTAGGCGTCGCTTAGGCGTCGCGCCCCAGTTCCCACATGCGTTACGCGGCCCTGCGAGAGCGCTACTGTGACTGTAACGCCGGTAACACCAAGGACGCGGACTTGATGCCCTTCTAGTTGAGATGAGTGCTCTGCTGTGCCGCCGACGCGTTGCCTGATTTGTTGTTTCTGCCGTGAACGAAGAGCGCCTTCTCTCGCGTCTCCGAGGGTTCGCTGAAAAACATGAAAGCCACTGCACTGCGGCCCGCGGCCGTGACGAGCCGAGCAGCGGGAGTGGTGCGCAGCCGCGCCACGCGCAGGGAGGCCGAGCCGGACGCCGCCGTCGAGCCACTCGTCGGCCCCGCGCCGGTCACACGAACGCGCTGCGGCGCGTCACCGACGCCGAGCCGAGCGGCCGCCCGAAGGGAGCCGAAGACGCTCCGAAGCGCAGCCGAAGTGAGCGCGCGGCCGGTCGTGTGTCGACGGGTCGAGGCGTGCTGCCTGCTGCCGGCGTGCTGGCGGTGGTGGGGGGACGCCGGCAGAGCACCGCCACACGACGAGAGCACCGCCACCGCCACGGCACCGGCGAGGAAGGCACCGGGCCCCGGGCACCGGCAGAGTTCAGTTTCAGTCTGCTGCAGACACTTGTTGCTCGCGGACGTCCACGCTCGCCTCCCGGCCCGGACCGGTCCCTCGCCGTAGTCACTCGTACTCGTCAACATCCTCGCCGGCAGTGAAGTGATGCCATCAGTGTCTCAGTGAAACCGTTCAGTGCTTCGCCGCCACACGTTCTGGATTACGCCTCTCGTCGCCCTTTGGATACCTTCGCCGTCGCCATGGTGACCAGCGGAGCCACCGTCGCCGCCCCCGCCGGCACGCCCGTGTCCATGTCCCAGGCGATGCCGCCCAGCCCCTGCTCGCCCTCGGACATGCCCCAGCGCAGATCCGCCGAGAACCGTCGGGTAGGTGTCTATCACTCGACTCTGAAATCTGGGATGCTTGGGCCATGCGCCGGGTATTACCCCAGCCGGTGCGGTACCGGTGCGTCGCACTGTTGTGATTGCTGTGCCCTCTGACGGCCGTGGCGGCCGTTGGCGGCGCGGCGTGGGAGCGCGTCGAGTGGTGGCGCGCTGCAGCACTTGTTGCTTCCTGCCGGCCGGGACCGCGGCCTGGAGGGAGGAGGGAATGGAGGGCCCAACAGCCGGGCGCGGAGTTTGCTCTTCCCAGAACGTGTCGCTGGCCCGGCCTGGCGTTGCCTGGCGGCCCCGGACGCCATACGGCATAGGGCGCCGTCCTGCCGTTTGCCGTTCCCACGCCGCGCTCCCCATTTTCTGAAATCCGCGCAGCCGGCCCGCCGGGCCCGCCAGGTTCCCGCCGGCCGGGACACGTCAGACAATGGAGGCCGGCGACCCTCCGCGCCGTCTTGGCGAAATGTATAACAGTCCCCGAGGGTGCGCGGAAGGGTTCCTGTCCAATGGGAACCGGGAGGGGTGCGTGTGTGCGCGCGGACGGCCCGGACCGCGCTTACCTGAGGGGGCAAGGGTCACCTGGCGCTCCCCTAGGGACTCCGCCGGGGAGGGGGAGGCGAGAGGAGCCGTGGGAGCCTCCAGATGCACTCCCTCTTCTGCCTCCGCTCCGCTCCCCCGATGCGTGAAAACGCGCCGGGATTCTCACGCACGCACCGGCCCGGTGTGTGTCCGGCCGGCTGCGGGGGCGGGGCGGGGCGGGGCGGCTCCCGTGGGAACGCCCTGGCCGTGGCCGGTGCCCCTTCCGCCCCGCCCACACCGCGAAATTGGGCCTAGATTGGCGTTGGACCCATCGTCGCCCCGGTGCTGCTCTAGTTCGAGTCGTCCGCCTCTGGCCAGGCCTCCGTGACCACCGCGGCGGCGCGGCGGCCGAACCCGCTGGGAACGGACTGACCACTGCCCCTTCCCCCTCCCCTCGAAAACGCATCGAGGCGAGGAATTCCGCTCCGGTGACTTTTCTCACACTTATCATGGACAGGCGCCCCCTCCTTGGGCGAGGCAGAGGCAGCCGAGGTGTCGCTCCTGGAGCGTGTGAAAGATGCGTTTTTGCGGCCGCCTGTCCATGTGGCGGAGCAGGGCGGGGAAGGGGGAGGGGACAAGACGGCAAGGTCGGGCCGGGTCATGCTCGGGTGCCGTGTTGCACGCCGTCAGACGACGTTGACTAACCGAGTGCGTTTTTCTGATGTTGCAGAGTAACAAGCCGATCATGGAAAAGCGGAGACGAGCACGTATCAACAACTGCTTGAACGAGCTCAAGACCCTCATCCTGGACGCCATGAAAAAAGACGTAAGTATCTGTTCTATGATTTGAAGCAAGGCTGCTGTTTGCTCCAAATAAGTTTCCTCTCGGCTTCTCGTTCTGGACAGTCGCTCTAACCGCTGTGCTTTTTCCTTGTTACAGCCGGCTCGCCACTCCAAGCTGGAGAAGGCTGACATCCTGGAGATGACCGTCAAGCACCTGGAGAACATGCAGCGCCAGCAGGTGGCCCTGGCCACCGCCACGGACCCCACCGTCATCAACAAGTACCGCGCCGGCTTCTCGGAGTGCGCCGGCGAGGTGGGCCGCTTCCCCGGCCTGGAGCCCGCCGTCCGCCGCCGCCTGCTGCAGCACCTCGCGGCGTGCCTGGGCAACAACAACAGCACCGCCAGCGTGGAGACCGGCCCCCAGTCGCCGGCCCCCGCCGCGTCGCCCGACTCGCCGCTCCAGCTGCAGTTCGTGTCGTCCGAGACTTCCCCCGGCCAGACGCTGTCCAGCAGCAACGGGTTCTTCTTCTCGACGGGCGCCAACGGCGCGGGCCTGCAGCTCGTCCCCACCAGGCTGCCCAACGGCGACATCGCGCTCGTGCTGCCGTCGTCGCGCGCCGGCCAGCTGGGCCAGGCCGTGGCGGAGCAGCAGGCCGAGGCCGTCGTCAAGGCGTCCCCGCCGCCCTCGCCCTCCGTGTCGCCGGCGCCCTCCCCGCTGCCCATGCTGATCCCCATCCCCCAGCGCACCGCCTCCACGGCCTCCGCCACCTCCTCCGCGTCGGGCTCCTCCTTCGTGTCCACCTCCACCTCGCCGGCGGCCTTCGACCGCATGAGCTCGCCGCCGCAGACGCAGCCCCACAACCTGAGCACGGCCGTGCACATGCACACCATCGAGCGCGACGGCGGCGCCTCCCCCATGCCCATCGCCTTCCCCCCCTCCCCGCTGTCCAACTCGTCCAACTCGTGCGGCTACGACATGCAGTACACCGAGGAGCACAAGCCCCTGGCCCTCGTCACCAACAGGAAGAAGTACGAGATGGAGGTGGACGACGACCAGCCCTGCTGGCGGCCCTGGTGAGCGCGCCGTCCGACGCCGTCCCGTCATCGCCGCCGAACATGTTCCTGCCTCCCCGCGCACCACTGCACCCGCACCGCGGGCCGCTCCGTACTGACGGTGCAGCGAGGGGGCGATATGAAAGACTTCGTTGCTCAGGCTTATACTGTATTGACTGTGATCTCATTAGTGGAAATTGAACATCCCATGCCATTTTTGTACTTACTCGATTTGAGAATTAATATGATTCCTGACTTGTGTACCTCCTGACGCGCATGTTTCCATGTCTCTTGTTTGGGTGCTTCGTTTTGTGTTGATGTTCAATTCACTCTAATATTGCTGTTATGTTAAATGTTAAACAACATGCAAATATAAGGTTAAGTTTATATTTTTGCAAAGAGTGATTTCTATGTTAGTTTTTTGAACGCTTTATTTTGTTTGTACATTAGAATGTAAAAATACCAAGTACAATTCTCGTGCCTTACAACAAGATTCACAAAGGTCTTCCAAGTTGTACAGTGATAGTGTTTATTCAAGAGTTTATTTAAAGTATTGCGATAAATATTGTTCTTGGAAATGTTTTGATTAAAGCACATTCCATTTAATACTTGTTTGTTTTCCTCACAATTACTCCAATCCTTGAAAATACTAGCACCGTATGGTACACACACCACAGCTGCCTCGTGGCCAGAAATAAAGGGACGAACTCAGTCAGCTGCATAACAAAACTGAGTGCATCATCCGAGGAGCCATGAACTGGAACATCTGCCATAATGCGTGTCGCGCTCGACTGTTTTCATTCCCATGGCAATTACTCGAAATGAGACAAGCGCGCACACACACACTTACGCACGCACACTCACTGTGCGTGTGGGAACGCTGCGAAGCGGGGGCTTAGGGCGTTGCGTCACCCGGCGCGCGGATTGCCAGAGAATAAGCACTTGGAGGGTCTTGGTGGCGTCGGCGAGGGCCCTCTTCTTCCCCTTCTTCTTTCTTCTTCTTCTTCTCCTTCTTCTTCCATGGGAGAAGGGCGCGTGACTTGCCGTCGCCGGTGCATGGCGCGTCTCGGCTGTCGACCTCAAAGCATAGTGACTGGCGGCGGGCTCCCATTTGGTCCGTGCATGCCGTGCCACGCACAGTGCCACGCCGTGCCGCCCAATGCATCGGCCGCGCGCCAAGTGGCGTACGATCAATTTACTGCCCCCTCGCCCGCAGCTCTGCACAGCTCGCACGCGTCGCGACGCCAGCCGTTGACGGACCCGCGGCCCGGCGTCAGACGGCCACGCGCTGCGCCCGAGTCGCGTGTCGCCCGCGTGGACGCCCTCTACTCCTTCCCCCTCCCCCCGCGACGTCGCGACGCGCCGCGGGCTTGGACGCGGTTATCGAGACGAGTGGCGGTGCACGCCGGCCCCACGCGGCCGCTGCGCGCTGCGTCGCGCGTCCCGCGTCTCGTGTTTGGCGCAAAGGCGCCGAGGCGTCGCGACGGCGGGCCGGGCCATCGGCGGCGGGGCAGGGCACGCCAGGGCGGCAGCCTCAGCCAGCGGCAACTTCCCCTCCTCACAAGTGTTTGTCGCTGATACCGGCTGAGTCTCGGCGTCCGCACTGCCCAGCGCGTCACGGGGCACCACGCCGTGCACCACGCGGCCAGCGGATGGCCACTCTTCCTGCGTCAGGATGACCGCCGCGCTAAGCAGGCCGCCAGCAGCCAGCCTCATTCGCCTCGCCGCCGAGAGCCCCACTTGAACTTCGGCGCAGTACGGCGGGTTGCGGGCTCGCGCCACTCTGCCGTCTGATTCCGAGCACTGCTTTCGTCGCTCTGTCTCTCTCGCACTCATGGGGCGGTCCTTAGGGGTGCGAGAGAGACAGAGCGACGAAGCAGTGTTCGGAATCAGACGGCTGTGACACCTGCAGGCGGACTGCAGGGCGTCGCTCTGTCTCCCTCGCACTCCCGCGGGGCGCCCCATGTGTGTACCTCACGGTGTACCTGCACGCCGCGGCGTGTGCCTGGCCGCGCCAAAAATAAAAGCGCGGTGCCGCCAAACGCGGCGGGCCCGGCGGGCGTCGCGCCGCCGTCGTTCAACAAACGGGCGGAGCAAACAGGCGGCGGCGGGCGCGACGGGCGTTTCCGCGAACGGGCCGCTGACACAACGACACGGCGACACCGCCTGGCTACGCGGCTACGCCTGGTCTGCCCCGGGCGGACTCTCAGCGCGCGCCGCCGCGGCCAAGCCGGCCAAGCCCCTCCGTATCGCGGAGCCGCATCTCGAGGTCCAGCGCGGCCTGACGCGATGCTGGCGGTCCTCACCATCACGGTGACCTTGATTCCGCGAGGCGAGACGGCGAGACGCGGGAGAGTGAGAGAGACGAAGCCACGCGCCGAAAGTAGCCGCTGCGCCGTGCCGCGCCGCGCCGTGCCACGCCGCACGCGCCGCCGAGCGCCCCCGCGTCGCGTCAGCGTCAGCCAGAGAGGCGCGCGCCCACGGGGCCGCCGGGCCGGGCCGCCGCGGTTCATCGACTTCGGAGGCGACGCGTCGTGGCGGCCGCTTCCGAACAGTGCCTCGTCGCGCTTTCTCTCTCGCGCCTTCCTCGCAACGCCCCGCGAGCGTGAGAGAGACAGGGCGACGGAAGCACTGTCGTTGGGAACCAGCCTGCTGGGTTGTCGACTCGATTCGCGGACGGCGTCGGGCCCGGCGAGGTTGGCGACGAAGACGAACGCGGTATACGGCGCACGCGCGCGCCGCCCGGACAATGGCTCACTAAGCCCTGACGCACGACGCGCGGCCAGCGCGGCCCCCCGCCGCGTTCGGCGGCACCGCGGCCCCGGCAGGGCAGGCCAGGGCGGCAACACCTGGCCGGCGACCCGCGGCACGGCGCACAGAAGCGCAAGTCTGGCGGCGCGCCAGCGCAGTTACGACCGCGGCGCTGCTGGGAGTGACTTGCTGGCGCGGCTCGGCGGCGCTAACGAGAACGGCTTTGGCTCATTGTCGAAAAGAGTCGGGGCGTCGCCGCCTGCATTCTCGGAACGCGGAAACGGGAGCAAACAAAAACAAGCACAAGCCGCGCGGCGCACGGAGCCGAAAGCTAGCTTTCCGCGACTCGTTTCAGATTGCGAGGGCTTTGTGGCTCGCCGCGCCGCGCCGCGTCGACTCCGCGCTCTGTGCTTGCGGTGCCAGCGGTGCCCAGCCACCCAGCCGCCCGGCACACGAACCAGGCCCTGTTCCTGTACAGTAGACCCAGGACACGCGCCACGTGCCGCGCTGCTCCGCGCTCCGTCGCTCTGTCTCTCTCGCACCCCCACCGGAAGCCTCACCAGTGCGAGAGAGACCACACGCCGTTCGGAATGAGTCTAGTGCGGTGCGAACCGCGCGTGGCTCACTCGCTACGTGTCCCATTATTCCACGGCGGGCCGTCCCGGTGGCGCGCGGCGCGCGGCGGCCCCTTCCGAACCGCGCCGTCTCTCTCGCACTGCTGCGGGTCGACCCGCGAGTGCGAGGGAGACAGAGCGCCCTTCGGAAGGAGCCGCCGGCGCGAGCGGCGCGAGGCACGGAGACCGGACCGGGCTTGGCCGGGCTTTCCACGCGAGGCTGCCGATCACGCGCGGCAGTGCTATCGGCCCGCTCCATCCCCTGTCCGCGCTTCCCACGGCGCCTTTTTATTTATCTGTACTTTTCCTGGGGAAAAGAAAGAAATACTCGTTGTGGCCGTTGCGGCCGGGCGGGCGGGCTGGAGGTCGAGGCGCGGCGGGCCGCCGTATGGCGTCATGATCTTGACCTTATCAAAATCCCGATGCCAGCATGCCAGACCGCCGGGCCGGGCCGGCCTGGGGGACCCTCGCCTCGCCGGGGACCCCGCTGTGTGCATGATGGCTGCGGGCGGGACGGGCGGCCGCGCTATGGTGTGCCTGCCGCGGTGCCCGGCGGTGGCGGCGTGCCGCGGCGGTGCCATCTCATTCAAAGAAACCGCCTGGACCGGTACCGCGGCAGGCACACCAGCGGAGATTGGTCTTTGCGGCCCAGCTTCTTGACGATACGGCTCCTCGAAAACACATTCGTCGTCGCCGACTCGCCGACGGAGACAGAAAAAGAGAATTAATTAGTCTGCTTGCTTCGCTGCTTCGCTCTCTTGGATCCCAAACGAGCTCGTGGAAGTCCACGTCGTCTGGCCGCTGTTTCTCCTATAGTTCACGCGAAGGGTCACCCAAGTCACCCATTACCGCCTCGAAAATTGGTTATCGCCGCAAGTGACGCCCCGCTATCGCCTAGTCGCCAGGAGCAGCCGCCCCCCCCCGCCCCGCCCCGCCCCGCCCCGCCCCGCCCGTAGACGCCTCTAACCGCGTCTAACCTACTTGGTGGGCGCGGCGACGCACGGCCACGGCGGCGTCTGGCGAGGCGGCGAGGCGGCGGGGCGTTGCTATCGTTGTTATCGGCTCGATGTCACGCGCTGCCCGCGCGCCCGGCCCGCGATATCAAAAAGAAGACCGTCTCGCCACGAATAGAACAGAACGCGCGGCGCGGCGGCGTCCAGAACCAGTCGAGCCACCGCGGAGCGGAGCACAGCGGAGCGGCCGCGGGCTGTTTTCGGCGAAGCGTTGTTGCGTGTCGCCCCGCCCGAGACACGCACACACACGCACTCACTGTCTCTCTCTCTCACACACACACTCGGGAGCGCGCCAGACAAGCCCTATGGACCCACTATACTGGTAACCACGGAATCAGTCCCTGAGCCTTGCAGTCATTCGGAAGCCGGTAGTGATGCTACCATCTTACTGTGCGTCTGAATAGTCTTCAAAAAGATCACAAATACGTGAAATCAAAAATCCAAGAAATATTCCTTTGGAATGGCCTTTCCTTTCCGACCGCCATGCCACCTTCGTTGCGTCAGTGCCGCCTCCTGCTATCCAGGTCGTCCAGGTGCTCCACTTTAGGTGGCTAATGAATTACTTGATAATTACGTCAACCGTCGCACCGTCCCGGGCAGCGCGGTGTCGCGCGCGCTTCGAGCGGACCTCCCCTAATTCCGTGATTGCCCCCGTCCGTGATTGCCGAGTCAGCCACCGTCGGGCCACAGTCCTCACGCCACCCAGGTCGATTAGAAAGGCGGCCGTCTTCGTCCTGGATGCGACGATCGAGGCGATCGAGTGCGTGCCCGGCGTGTGCGCGCACGCCTCGGCACGCCTCGGCGCGCTTCGTCAGTCGTGAACCGTGGCGTCGGCGACCTTGAGACGAGCCATCCTGACAACACGCGAGTCGGCGGGGCGCTGCGGGGCGGGGCGCCAGTGTATTTCTGCCGGCCGCTCGTTGCGCGCCACAAAGAGGCTTATAATGCGGCGCGGCACTGCCGGGGCACTGCGGCGACGGCAGGAAAGTGGTTTGAATCTACGGCGGCCACTTGGCCACGTCGCGAGACGCCCCGCACAGTGGGCTAGAAGACCGGCGGAGGCGGCCAAAACTCTAGACGCGTTTTGAGCTCCAGAGTCGCTAAATGGGCCTCAAACCGAACGTGTGACCCCACCAATGGATTGCTCTTCAGACGGGGAATCCATTGGTGGGGTCACACGTTCGGTTCGAGTCCCCTTTAGCGACTCTGGAGCTCAAAACGCGTCTCGAG